CATGTCTGATGCAAGAGCAAATTTATCAGTCTGTAATCCAGTAGATCTTGTCTTTTCATCAAAACTTAAAAATCGCTTTATTTCTTTGAATCTATCTCTTGATATAGTTTCTTTGCAAAATGGTATTCCCTATGCTTCAGCTCACAAAGAATATAAATCTAAGCCCTTTGCTCCTATTACTCCTCGAACATATAATATAGTGACAAAAGCATCTAACTCAGCCGGAGATAACTTCCAGTCTTTATTTCCAAGGTGGCAATGAGCTTCGGAATCCTGTACATTTCTTTATATGCAGAAGGTATCATCATCAATAAAAAAGCTTGAAAGCACTAGACACTTTGTCCTCAGAAACATGACTCTTTGCAAAAGATGTTGCTCCTGCTGGTTTCTTTTAGAACATTATAAGCAGGAACTTGGCCGCAGACTGAATTTTTGGAATTTATTTCATTCCATATAGTGTTATCAGAAGCAGTAAAAACAGTTTTTCAAATACCTGATCTGTTTTTGCCCGTTTATTTCTGCTGAGTTCTTCTTCATTTACTTTGCTGTCCTCAGATTCACTAAAAGTTTGTGTATGGAATTCATCTTCAGTTTCTACAAAAAAGTTATCAATTTTACCTCCGTGAGACTCATTTTCAGATAGCTCCTGCAACAATTTTTAATTTCTTCATCCGTAAGACCTCTTTTCCACTTAATTAGTCATATTTTGTAAAACTAGAAAAATCTCAGATTATCAGAAAACGATAGGGAATATATTTTAGCATATGATTCTCACAGCCTAAAGGATAGGTGATAATGAACTTGACAGCAGAATTCATATGTACTGAAGTACTGATTTGGGATTACCAAGAAAACCTCTGTCCTGGCTGTTATCACCTGCAGTAAGTAAGCTGAACTAACAAACAGAAAAGTACATCGGAAACATAACAAACGGAAAAATAAAATATTTCTGAAAAGAAATGTAAGCATGAAAAACCCTGCATTTACCTTCCGTGCAGTATTTTCTTCAAACACATAGATAATTGCAAACAAAGGAACAACAACTTATGTAGACATTGCAAAGCAGTGAGACCACCCAAGTTTTTATCCATCTGGGAGATAGCATAAATGCAATCGAAAATTCCTTATCAGTGAATGTTTTTCATGTGTTATTTGACAATGCCTCGAGTAGAAAGAGGGATAAAAGTAAAGGGGTCAAAATGACCCCCGCTTGCCATTCTAGGAATGCATGCCAATATTTAAAAACTAACAACCCTAGAATACTGAATTTTTTTTTTTTTTTTACAAATATTTGTTACCTATTTAAGAAAAGTCGAAAAATTTCAAATGATTTCTTCCAATAAAACAAAAGTAATGAATGGTCAAAAGTGTTCAGGCGTCAAAATGACCCCTACCGCCGTTTAATGTTAAACTTTGCGTTTCAAACTAATATGTCCTTGTGTCAGGCAGCAAAAACATGCATCTTTTTTCTTGATGACCAGCTGCCTTTCTTTCAGAGGAGAGTCAATAACTGCACAGTCCTGAGAAGAATTTATCGATTTATTACCAAAAATGCACAGTACATCTTTATTTGCATTATTATTATTATGGGAATAAACTAATGCTGCTGTAAAGTATTTGACATCTTATTTTTATGTATATTCTGTGAACTAGATTTATGTTTGTTGGATTAAAAAGAAATGTTTCTTAGTTTTACTCATTCCTCTCCTTCTAATTGTATTTTTAAAAATTCTGGTAATTTACATAAGCCATTATCTGGTTTTTTGATAGAAGCCTTCTTAGTTCGTTCGTATCTTTGCCTGATCTTAAGAATGTGTTCTGAAATCGCTGACTCTACTAGTGGGAAAAGCTTCACTGCATATTTTTCTTTAGCTACGCCTAAAGATTCTAAAAACACAGCTATGATACTGGTTTATCATAAAGTTGAGAAATTGGAATATATTTTTCTTATTAGTAGAAATAGAGATAATATTCACATAGAATTATATTAAAAATCCTTCCTTCCCAGGTTTGGATAGTTTATTACTTCAGCCAAGTTAGGATTGTTTATTCTTTGCGTATCATAAGAAGCAACAGCCTCTGAAAAGGGAAGATTCCCCATCTTGGGAGTTTGGCAAAATATCCTGGGTTGGCAAAGTTTTTTCACACGTAAGACTTTTTTTTTCTCAGATTGTCACAATAGATAAATTATGCTTTCCTTGGTACAAACGACAAGAATATTTCGATTTGCATAATGCAGGTTTATGTCTGTCACTTAAAAAAATTATACATATTGCATGTTTTTTAACAAGGTTGAATCTTTTCAGTGGAGTCATTTTTAAAAATGAAGAATAATTATATACAGAATAAGACTTTTTACACAATATGCATGAATAACTATTTGATTTTAACATCAAATTTGTAGTTTTATTTAGATAAGGAATTTTAGTTTTTAGTTTATGATAACTGAATTCCATGTAAATTTTCTAAATTTGGGATCATTTTTCTAAATATTTCATGAAATTTCCAAAATCGGATAATTCAGTCGACGTTAAACTCATTTCATGTTGTTTTCTTGTTTCTTTGTCTAATTTTTGAATGACAACATTTATTAAGAACTGATGCATCAGTTCATTAGTTTCTCTCTTAGGTTTTTGTTTAAAACATCAACTAAATTTCGAAGACTCTTATAAGATTCAGCATGTATTTTCTCAAAATTTAAAATATTCATAATATGAAATTAACAATCAAACGTTTATTTTCATACCTATCAATTAAAACCTCAAATAAAGATTGAAAGCTCTCTTCTGGAGTTTCCGCTGAATACTCGTCTTTCAACACCGAATGCAAATAGAGCAATTTTTGAATATCATTTAAATAAGAGTTATTTGTATTCAAAACTATCATATTGTTATTTGAAATTACACCAGTTTCCAATACAACCATCAAATTTTGGTAAGTCAGGTAACTTAACAGAAACAGAATTACAATGCTCAGTCTTATTTGTGAAGGAATCAACTAAATTAGAGTTGAATAATAATGTTTGTAAGCTTATTTTTATTTCTTCAGGCTTACAATTCTGAAAATTCAAAATCCACACTTCATAATTTTTTTTTCGTCAGTAACATTGTAATATTGCAATTGCAGCAATTTGATATGATGTAGTACATCTGAAAGCATAACCAATTTAATTTGAAAGTGCAACTTGTCAGCATTCAAAGCTGAATTTTTCAAAAAAGTTTCCAGTTTTGTTATCCTAGTTTTACAGTTTCCAGGATGTTGATTAAACACTTTTAGTTTTTCATCAGATGGCAATATTATAGTTTTTGTTATTTTTTAACTCTTCATCTGAGCTAGCCATTTTACTCAAACACAATCAAAACCAATATTTTTAAAGCTCAAAACAATAATTTATTTAGCTGATGCTTCTCCGGTTCAACAGACCATATGTCCACATGTTTTTATAGTTTTTATAGACAAACTTCATGTCTTTAGACCATGTAAAATAATTACATGCATCAAGTTTAGCAATATTATGCATGACACTAACAGTAGCCATATTTGAATTTTAACAAAAACCGCTCCCCAATCTCTTAAGTCCTAAATTAACATTAAACTTCAAAAGTCTGCACTAAATATAACTCAGGGGCTGGGCCCATAACCAAAATGATGCTAAAGCAAAGTTTGAAAAAAAATTAAACATTTAGCAGTAGTAGCAATAAAAGCTCCCTGAGATACCATGTTGTGCAGACATTGAAGACAATAAAAGGTTTTGAACTTAACCAATTTATTAACAATATAATAAGAAATAAAAACACAGAAAATAAATTTCAACAATATCAGAGTCTTAGGAAAAATAAATATAACCATCATTCATCAAATAATATTTTTACCTACTGGTCTCCAAAACACTGGCCATTCAATACAAACAAAAATGTCCTAAACATTAATTATGCGGCCTCAAAATGAAGTTGGCTACACATTCAATAAGTCCATGATCAATGGTTGAGAAAACACCTGAAAATTAAATCAAGTTCTTGAAAAACACTTAAAACCGGCCTAACTCCGTTTGCACGAGGAATCGCCGCTCACGTATTTTAAATGCCGCCTTTATTGAAGAACATGGATGCCGCACATGGCAGTCACTCACATGGTAGCCTCTGGAAACAAGGAATTTATTCTGGAACAATCATCTTGTGGATATGAACCAAGGAACTTATTCCGGAACAATCATCTTGTGAACAGGTACTAAGGAACTTTATTCAGGAACAGTCATCTTGTGAACAGGAACCAAGGAACTTTATTCACCGGACTGCATGCATCCTTCTGAAGGGGCTGGAAACCGCACACCCAAGTGCCAGGAAAGCAGGAACTAGAAGGAGGAGTGAGCCAGAGCGATGCGAGATACTTATAGCAGAAGTAGGCATGATGTCATCTCACGGCAACCAATCAGCTATCGGCATGAATCGGCTTTCCAGATGACGTAACATCACTTTCGTTTTTGCATCTCAATTAGGTTGAAACAGTCCGTTCTCAACGCAAACAGTGGCAGTAAGAAAAAGAAGTAGAAGTAACTAATATATTACATTAAAATAAGAACTAAACTAAATAAACATTTCAAGGAGGAGAGATGATGCAATAAAAGGTTTACAATAAGTTATATTTTCCAACAGTAAAGGTCTTACGCGCACGCGTAAATGCCTATGCGCATGCGTCAACGCGGTGCATGCGCAGAAAGATTTTAGCTTTGAGGTCCGGATTATGGGTGTCCGAATTAACGACTTTTAACTGTACCATTTGGGAACTAGAAAACAAATATATTTCTAAAAAGTGTGTATAATTAATTCTGCTAAATGATTATTTATTTCAAATTTCTGTTCAGTGTCTCAAACCTCCTCACCCTAAAAAAGTACCTAGCATTATTAACTAGAGAATTTTATTTTGATTAAATCCAAATGCTGTCTCCTTTCTGGTGGGAATGAATTTTTTAAAAAATATTTTTTATTGTTCCTTTTATTTAGTCCATGTATCAACAGACCAAAATGATGAAAGCAACGATATTATTACACCTTATCAAAATGGCGTTTCTTCAGCTGAACCTGTGTCTGAGATCAGTTCTGCTGTTACTGAAGGGAAGTGTCATGAGCAAGTGGTTAGTAGAATACTTTGTTAGATATTCTGCCTTTGTTAACTAGCATAAGAGTAATCAAGTCAATATAATTTTTAATGAAAAATTTAATGTATTCAACATAAGTTAATGTTCAAAACGGATGTAAATGCATTTCGCAATGAGTTTTAAAGCTACACCAGTTATTTAAACTTGATATATTGAAAATAGTTGACTGTAATAACAGAAGCCTGCAAAATGTATGTTTCTGGAAATTTTTTTATTGATATTAAATTACCGTATATCTGGCATATAATGCACACTTTTATTACAAGAAATAAAATCCAAACATTATACACCAGATATAAAAATGATAGATTTGAAAGTAAGGGAAAGTTGAGCATACAAAAATTAGACTTTTACATGTTCATAAATGCTGGTTATTTAAACAAAAGTACATACTGTATCAACTTAATAATTTCCATTATCAGATAACATAATAATGTCTTCATATTGTTTTCCATTATGTCTTCAGACACATCAAATTCTATTTTATTTTCACCGTCATTGTTACTCCCTTCCACAAACAAACAATCACCTTCCATTCCATCTAGCTTGTTAGATATGCTACATTTTTAAGGACTTCTGAATTATGTTGGGTTTAATTTCATTCCATGCTTTTATTATCCACTTGCACACTATTTCTAGACTGCCATGATGGATTTGGCCTCCTTTTTGTAAATGTTTTTTCACCTTCAAATATCCACGTATTCCACTGTCATTTTAAATTTTATTTGAATTGTTTATTCATGCACAAATCTAAAGGCTGAATTGAGGGCATCAATCACCCGGGAATAACTGCCATGTCTGTACCAGGCCTTTTTCAGCAATTTCTTCATATTATCCATTAGATGAAATCTGAACATGCCCCATACTTATAGATTTTTTGGATTTTTTAGATTTTTTAAGGCAACAGAACACTTTTGCCAATAATGTCTTATCCACAATTTTCATTCATCCATCCTTTCTCATGAACATGAAATAAAACACAGTTGGGGAAATTGCATTTCAGCATCATCTTTCTTTTGTTTGTTGTTTTAAAAATAACCATAAGTTTTAATTCTGTATTGTCCACTAAGCAGGAAGCACAACAATGAAGTGAGATTTGTCATGACTTGCTCTTTTATGTGAATTATTTTGTTGTTCAATACTATCGGAAGCCTTTGTGAAGGGGGTTTTTTTTCCTCATGGAACTAAATAATTTCATGCCATAATTCAACTACACCAACTCAAAACTGCATTAAAGTTTTCTTTTTCATTTGCATTCTTTTCTACCCACTTTAAGGCACATAAACATACTCGGTCTGTTGTTTCAATTAATCAATTCTCAAGACTTTCTAGGACCTTCTAAGAGAGGCCATTTTGTTACTTCTTTATGCAAAGCTTATTTATTGTTTGGCATACTAATTATCATAATTCCATTTTCCCTCCACTCACATGTAGAGCATCCTCAACACCAAACGTCCTTGCTGCAGCAGGATTTTTATATTCTTTTGCAGCTTGAATGATTTTGCATTGGAAAACAGTACTGTGTTTGCTTTGTTTGGCAGGAGCCATATTTACCACCATAAGGAACACTAGATCAACTGTGTTCCAATTAAAGCAAATGCGATTTACCAAAGCTTTTGATTCTCACTTCAAAAGACTACAGGAAAAAAAAAAAAATCTGACTCCTAATTCCGTGAATTCATTTGGGTTGGAAGCGCATTCTTTCTTATGCCAAATTATGTCCCCTTTTCTTGAAACCATAGAATAACATTCTTTTGCATATCTGCTGTGAATACAACTTCCTTTTCAGAATTATTTGTTCTCCAAGTCATTTCAACCACACATTTATTGTTCCCCTTATTTTTGTCAATATAGTGTACCATGTTTGAAAGCATGCAACAAATCTTCAAATGAATGATATCAAAAGATAAGAGCATCGCACATGTATCATTCAGGTTTCATCATTAAGAAAAGAGTGCATATTATACGACGAATATGTTTAAAAATAAAAAAATACAGTTTGAAGTTAGGTGCACATGATCGCTGGGATATATGGTTATAGTTTTTTTGAATGCTGAATCTAAAACTGGCTTAGATTTTTTCCCATGAGCAACATCAGTTTTTTTCTTTTTTTTTTTTTTTTTTTAAATATTTTCTTGACAAGTGTGTACCCCTGACATAGCCTTTTGAAATGAATAATGGAGGGGGGGGAAATCAAAATTACTTCAGTTGTTAACACTATGCATTCTTTGGTAGAAAATATTTTATAAATAGAAAATGTTGTATGGGAACTTAAAATAAAAGTCTTTGCATCAAAAAAGCCTAGTTAAGGTCTCGCATTGCTTTCATCTTTTGGTAGGAAAATTTTATTCACTGTACATTGTCATAGGAGATGCTTCTATGGTTCGTGTTAACATTTCATTGAATGTGATATCTTATTACCATTTAAAAAAAAAATATTATTATTACAGCATCTAAATCTTCAATGAAAAGGCCTAGATATGAATTTGGAAAGTCAAGTTTTATACTCATTGAACTCATTCATTTCTGTTTTATAATAAATATCCAGCTAGGGTCATAGGGCCAGGGACATTATTCAAAGATTTGGTAATAATGTTCTTTTGGGTAATTTGAATCTCCTTTTTCTTGAAAATTCAAAGATTTCTTCTAATGATAAAACTACCTTCTTTCAGTTTGGCTTCTTCCTGAAGTACTTTTCATAGTAATATTTTGCCATTTCTTATCAATACTTTCGCAGATTGTTTCATAGACCATTTTATATGAAACAGTGGTAATGAGATTTTCTGTTTGATGACAAAGTTTGATGTAAAATGTTTTTATTTAGTAACTGTATATGTTTATTTGCTAATTTGAAATACACTTTGCTCTTCTATGTTATGCTCCGCCCTGCCGTCCCTGTACAAAGTACAAAAAGTTAACTAAAACCAACTTGATGATTATAAAGGCTACATAATTGCATAAAGTTGGCACAATCATAATTTAGGGCCCACCAGCGGCTGAGCGGTAAAGTCGCTGAACACTGGTAGTTTGGTCCGAGGTTCGAATCCCACGAACGGGCTGGCTGCATGGGCGTTTTCGTGGTTTTCCCCATGTGTAACGTGTATACGAGCCAGTTTCCCTTAGAAAGTCCTCCACAAAGGCATCTCTCCCTTAAGGCAGATAGCCCTCGAGGCTTTGCCATTTTCACACTCACACACACATAAGAAAAATTTCAAATGTTTGTAATTTCCATGGTCGGTGTACGGACTGATCAACAGGTACAGAAACATATTTGTCGCATTATACAAAAAAATGCACAAAGCTTTCCTTTAGAGATGTTGGTGAAAAGTTAATGTTTTAATGTTAATAATTGATGATAAAATTTGAAGCTTATAATCCATATTTTTGTATTTGTCATCAGAATTGACATAAGTAATATAAGATAAAAATTAAATCCATGAAAATCCATATTTGATACAGAATTTTTAAGTATATTTTTTAATTCAGATTCAGAATAACTTAAAGAACAGCAAAAAAAACCTTCAAAAGTTTTATTGTAGCAAATCTGGGAAACTTATTTTAAGTATTTTCTCTTAGAAGTCCAGTTTCTTCTAGAAGTCCACCACAAAGGCATCTCTTCCCTTAGACAGACAGCCCTTGTGTGCTTTGCCATATTCAAGTAATCTAACCTCATCGGTAAAACTATCAAAAGGCAGTTTATTTGAAATTTATAATGTAAGTTACTAGCCATGAAAGCGCTGAGCATGTAGCTGCAAGCAGGGGGGGAGATTCCATACCAGAATGGTCATAAGATTAAAGAGACAATGTTTTAATGCAGTATTAGTTTCATCGATTGTGGGAGTTAGTCTTCCACAAAGCCATCCTTCCTTTTCTTTTTAGGGGGATGGTCTACATGTGATTCACCATATTCACATAACCCAACTTAACTAATAATAAATGCTACTAGGATGCATATTCAGTTATAGAATTCTGTAATAATCTTCTTGTCTTGTGTGTTATGCAAGGTATTCAGGGGAAAAAGGCTACAATCTTTACTTCTTTAAATATTGATTCTAGGTATGCATTTCTGTTGAAAGTTTACTCAAAAGTAAAAAGAAAATTTTACTAGATTTTTTTAAATGCTGTGGATGAAAGGGCTTTAACAATATTGAATGTCTATTATTTTATGTGGTTGCACAGAGCAGAAATTCCTTATTCATTATGCTTTCATTAGTTAAACACAAGAAATTATGTATTATGATTAAAATATGTAGAGATATCCATAATTATTGTTTTTTATTTTGCCAGTTACAAATTTCATGATGAGTCTTATTTTGGCCACTGCAGAGAGTCGTTAGCAGTCAAAACAATATGTTTTATTTTCTAGTTGCTCCCTAAATTTATACAAAAATTGGGAATTTGTTTTGAAAAATAAGCTAGGATAGTTATTTCTTTATTGGATGGCTCTGTAAATTATGTGCATAAAAGTAAGAAATTTGTATTCAAAGATTTATGTGACTGGAATTTATTCCTGCTAATTATTTAAACCTAGTTAACTAGTACAGCATATAATACAGTTAATGTTTGTTTATTTGATAGCATGAATTCATAAGAGAAAACTGTTTGTCCAACAGCAAAACAAGTGTTTCGTTTGAATCGGAATGTCTTTCAGATTATCAGAAACAATTTGGTATGTTAAATTTATGTGCATTTTACATAAACATATTTTGTTTTATGCAGCTAATAATACTGAAGTTCCTTAAAAGTATTTTTTATGAATATTTTGTATATTCTAGTATTATTTGTTAAATTTTTCATGGTTTAAGGAATAGCTTACTTTCTCATCTTGCCAGGTAATCATAAAATTCCTTTTGACATTTATGATGTGTATGTTCAGCGCGAGCCAAGTGGCTTAGGTTTGAGTATAGCTGGTGGAAAGGGGTCACCTCCATATAAAGATGATGATGAAGTAAGATCTTTGAGTTCCTTTTTTTTCTTGTAATGCTGCTGTATTTGTATGATGTAAATTTATGTTCCCTTTTCAGGGGATATTTATATCTAAAATTACTGAAGGAGGCCCTTCGGATAAAGCTGGCTTGAAAGTAGATGATAAAATTCTGAAAGTGAGTAATTTCATTTAGGCTTTTTTTAATTCTAAGCCAAATAATATTAGAAATAATATTTATTTATGCTACGTTTTAATGTAAGAACTCCATATTTTCTTATAGATGGTTAACTATGAAATATATAGATAGCTATACTGATAACATTGAGATATATTTAATTAAATTTAAACCATATTATCAATATGGTCTATATTTGTGCATTTCTGCATAAAAAGGACCAAATTAGAACATTTATTGTAGTTCTTCAGGAAATTATTTTTTACAAATATTATAGGACTATAACAGTCTGTTCAATCTGTAATAGAAAATTTTTAATTTTACATTCTACTTGTTCAACTTGTTTGATGACTACATAGTTCTACTTGTGCGAGAATGTTTTTGATCCATATCTGAATTTGAGTTCGGTCTCTGCAGTTTGCTGTTGTCAGGCATTTTTTACTGAGAATTTTCTTGAGCTGAAACATAAGGTTTCAAGCGATCCAGGGGTACATTACTATGTTTTCCTTTTATGCTAATCATAAAATATTTTTCTTTGCAATCAATAACAGGGAATGCTCCTTCGTAAGGTGGTTCCAAATGTCTCTTCACCCGATCTATTCGCTGAAACACGCGAGAACAGTTTTTTAAGTCTTTATGTATAAATTCGTTCAGAAGAATTTTTATGAATTTGTCTGGGTCTGGTAACTCCCATTTGTTCCTGGAGGTTGTTAACAAAAATTTCCAATGCTGTCTGTTTCCAATGCTGCCAAAAATGCATATTTTCGTCAAGTTGAAGGATTGGCTATGGGTAATCCTCTCAGTCCGGTACTTGCTGACATTTATATGCACTATTTTGAGATGAAATTATTTGATAAATTATCTTTTTTCGTCTTTGGATTTCGGTATGTTTGACGACACTTTCGCACTTTTTGACGGTTATAAAGAGGATTTATCCGAGATTCTATCTATTATGAATTCAATTGATCCAGCCATCCAATTCACTCTTGAAATTGAATCCAACAATTCCCCTCCCCTTCCTCGATATTCTTATAATCCGCAATGAAACCGATTTTAGCACCACTGTGTACCGTAAACCCTTTGCAGTTTGTTTACCACCCCATGCCAAGTCATGCCACCCTGTTAAGCAAAAAATGGCTTCCTTTTACTATTATGTTTTCCGCGCGCTAAAAGTTTGTTCCTCTGAATCTTTGCTTACCAATGAACTTAATTATTTGAGAGCAGTTGCGATTGACCGTGGATTTTCTCTCCCTTGATTATTGATAAAGCCGTCAAAAAATTTTCAGATTCCCATCAAAGAAGACATTCCACTGTTAGAAATAATATAATGACCTTGTCCTGCTTCCATTTTATATCCTTTTGTTAGCTATAAAATTGCACGGATTCTCCAGAAATTCAATTTTCAAGTCGGTTTCTCCTCCTATTAATAAAATTCAACCCTTCGATTCTAAAAGATTGCGTTTCTGTCTTGAATTCTTGGGGAATTTATAGTATATCATGTCGTGTGGTTTAAGATATATTGGCCAAACAAAAAGAGCGTTGAAGTTTCGTATCAAGGAACATGAATCTTATGTCAAAAAGGCGAAATTAACAAGTCTTCAATAGCGTATCATAGCTGGACTTTTAACCATAATTTTGAGTTTGGGTCTGCAAAAATCATCCAAAAGGCTTCTTCCATAGGCGAATTGGATTTTCTTGAGGCTTTTCACATTCACAAAGATTTAGAAAGTTTAGTTAATGATTTGAAGTCCAATCCAGTCCTTCCTAATGCCTTTAAAATTCTACTATCTTAATTCAATTTTTGCCGATAGATGGCGTTACCTCCTCGCACTTGGTACTACAAGAGGGTATAAAAATCCGTTCAGTGGTTGCTTTCCATTATTTGAAGTTCAGATTTTGAGCGTAATGTGCATTTGCCCCTCGCTCCCTATTTAACTAACTTCGCTAATATTTCTTTATGCTTGATCAGACAGCCTGGCTCAGTAAAAGTAGGCGGCCAGTGCAACTCTGATTAAAAATCTAGTTATAACCACGTGCAGTGCTGATAAGCACTACGTGTTTCTGTGACTCCTTCTCCTATTTTCTTCTTTCTATGTATTTCTTTCTCCTGATGAGGAGGGACCTTTAGCTGCCCTCGAAATCGATTGAGTGTTTCATTATACCTACGCTAAATACGAGGGCCATCCAGGAAGTAGATTACGTTTCCGTCTGTGTCCGCTAGGGGCGGGGCTAGCACGGCCATCTTGGGGTCAGAGCGTTGCGCAGCTCAATCTGCATCTAGCCGTGCTAGTGAGAGGTTCGTGCTGTGCTCCGTTCAGATACTGTGACGGTTTGAAATGTCTGCGTTAATTGAAAATCCCGCGAGCTGCGAGGTGCGCTCAGTAATAAGGTTTCTGACTGCAAAAAACTGTAAACCGATAGAAATCTATCGGCAGCTTCGTGAAGTGTATGGGGACAACATTATCACTGAAGGTGGAGTGCGTCAGTGGGTCAGAAGATTTCAAAATGGCCGAACCAATGTTCACGACGAAGATCGAAGTGGGACCCAGCATAGTGACCGCCGAACTTCTCGAAAAAGTCGATGCTAAAGTCCGTGAAAAATCGAAATTCACAATAACAGAACTTTTCTTTGAGTTTTCCACAAATTTCGCGAAGTTTGTTGCACACGAAATCATCAGCGAAAAGCTTGGTTACCACAAGTTTTGTGCAAGATGGATTCCAAAAATCTTGACAGAGGACCACAAAAATCAGCGAATGGCTGCAGCGTTGAACTTTTTGGACGCTTACCATAAGGATGGTGACTCTTTACTCGATCGCATCGTTACTGGTGAGGAAACATGGGTGAAACATGTGAACTGTGAAACGAAATTGCAATCAATGCAGTGGGGGCACACAAGTTCTCCCCAAAAACCCAAGAAATGCATGCAAACAATGTCGGCAAGGAAGATGATGGCGACTGTTTTTTGGGACAGAAAAGGTGTAATTTTGGTGGACTTCCTGGAAAGAGGCACTACAATAACTTCTCAAAGGTATTGCCAAACTCTCCAAAAACTCAGAAGAGCAATTCAAAACAAGCGCAGAGGAATGTTGAGCTCTAAGATCTTGTTGATTCACGACAACGCCCGGCCCCACACGGCAAATGTCACTCGTAAAGTTCTTGAATCTTTTAAGTGGGAGTTGTTTCCTCATCCGCCGTACAGTCCCGACCTGGCACCGAGCGACTTCCACCCTATTCCCAGCAATGAAGAAGTGGCTGGCTATGCAAGCGTTTTGATGACGACGCACAGCTGCAAGAAAGAGGTAACGAAGTGGTTGAAGGCGCAGGCGGCCGAATTTTTTCGACGAAGGAATTTCCAAGCTCATACATCGCTACGATAAATGCCTTAATTGTATGGTGACTATGTAGAAAAGTAGTATTTGAGTGTGGCTTTCATCTGTTAATAATAAAATTTGTTTCCTATACTTTTTTTATTTTTTTATTCCAAAACGTAATCTACTTTCTGGATAGCCCTCGTATAAAGTTGTTTTTTACGATTTTGATTGTCACATTAGCGTGTTTCTCTTCTAGTCTATCATGCCGTTAGTTTGTAAATGAATAATATGTGTTGAATATATATTTAATAGAATGGTAACTGTATGTAATGTAGTATCATAAATACTGTGTTATTTAGTCCTGCATACATTAGTGTTTTAAAAGAAAAGGTAGTATTATTGCCATGTACAGCAATTGTATAGTGGTAATAACTGTATCTAAGTATTTGCAGTTTGATTTTTGTGTTCTATTCATTGTATATTCCATTATTAACTGTCTCTTGAACTCACTTGTATGTGTATGTATATATACTATATATATATATTAAAAAAATAATACATATTTTTTTTAATATTAAAATATAAGCTTAATAGAATGGTAAAATATTTACTAAAATATCACAAATACTGTGGTGTATAGTTCTCATGTAACTAATTGATATAAATTGTAAATACTCTTTCTTCTAGATAATGCTGAACAGTTTAATGTCATAGTTACTATATTTTTGCTGAGTATCATTTAATTAAAAACAGAATGTTATTGGTTTCCAAGATGAGTCTTCATATTGTTGCAACACTGAGCTGATTGCCATATCTGAAACATCTGTAAATAATGTCAGTGGTAGTTCAGTATTGGGAAAAGGCAACAGTGCAGTGTTCACCTGATCATTGTGGCCCTTTTCAAACTATTTTCCAGCTTCTTCAGTCCATTGATATTTACGTTTGTCCCTCTTTTTAGCTTCCTTGAAAGATACTCATGTAACAATGTCTGGTTCTTTGCTGCATCTTTTAGGTAACGATGATAAAAAATTAAGTATTCCAAGAAAAGTTATAAGTTCATGAATAGGTTCTGGTCATTTGTAGTTGATAATAGCTTGAACACTTTCTGGCAAAGGATGGGAACCCTGAGGTGTAATTCGGTCAGGGCCGCCATGTGGGTATGGCAAAATTGTTCACCGCACAAAGGGCGCCTGGGCCAGTGGGGCGCCAAAATTGATTCTTATCACAACAAATAAAACACAATTATGGATTTTTGCTCTTAGATATGCATACAATATCACAATATCATGCCATTAGTTTGTAAATGAATAATCTGTGTTGAATATATATTTAATAGAATGGTAACTGTATGTAATGTAGTATCATAAATACTGTGTTATTTAGTCCTGTATACATTAGTGCTTTAAAAGAAAAGGTAGTATTATTGCCATGTACAGCAATTGTATAGTGGTAATAACTGTATATAAGTATTTGCAGTTTGATTTTTGTGTTCTATTCATTGTATATTCCATTATTAACTGTCTCTTGAACTCACTTGTATGTGTATGTATATATACTATATATATATATTATAAAAAATTTTTTTTGTTTGATTTGTATTTGAAGTATGAGTTGAATATAAGCTTAATAGAATGGTAAAATATTTACTAAAATATCACAAATACTGTGGTGTATAGTTCTCATGTAAC